AGATATCGCTCCCATGGTAAAGAGTCCCTGAGCTCAATCTTCAACACCAAAAATTAAAAATAAATAAATAAATAAAAATACGAGTTTCTGTTTGTGAAATAAAATTATGTGAAGCATCTAACACAAGCTTTTGCACATAATAGATATTGAATATATTTTATCTCCTTTTCTGATTCTTTCCTGAGGCAGTAATAATTTGGCATCTAATTAGGGCTTAGGAAACTCCTAGTTGGTGACACAAAAATCAAACATCTCCCCCAGCAGAGGGCGATGTCTTCACACCTATGGGGTCCAGACCTCACTATCCAATTGAAACATGAAGCCAGCTAACACAGATGTTTCAAAAACAGGTAAAATTAATATTAATATAGTCTATTTAACTCATGTTTTAGGATATTATCACTTAACACATAATCAATATAAAAGTTGGTTTTTTTGTTTTGTTTTTTCAATACTGGGGGCTGAACCCAAGAACTTGAATATGCTAGGCAAGTGCTTGGTCACTAAGCTCCACCCCAGCCCCAGGATAACAGTTATTACCGGGGAATTTTACATTTTTATTTTTCAAACTAAGTCTTCAAAATAAAATATACTTCATATTCACAGCACGTGTCAATTTGGACTTGTCATATTTCAAGAGTTTGAAATACATTGAATAGCAAGGTGAGAAAATATTTTCTTGGATAGGAAGTTAAACAGAAAAATTAAATTTATTTAGTTTATTTATTTTTCTTCTGGTGCTGGGGATCAGACTCCAGGCCTTATGCATGCTAGGCAAGCACTCCCCCCGTACCCCTAAATGAATGCCTTGAAGGGGTACCCCTGTGAAATATTGCATCTTTTCACTAGTAGAGCAGTTCTAACTTTGACAAATTGATAACATATATTTCTTTTTTATTTTTTTAATTTATGTTTTAGTTGTAGTTGGAAACAATACCTTTATTTCACTTATTTATTTTTATGTGGTGCTGAAGATCGAACCCAGGGTCTTGCACGTGCGAGTCAGTGCTCTACTGCTGAGCCACAACCCCAACCACCCCCCCCAACATATATTTCTAAAATACAAAATTAGCCCCCAAGTTCAGAACTTTGAGTTGCTTAACTCCTCCTCCCTGTTGCTGAGGATGGCTTTGAACTCTGGATCCTCCTGCCTCAGCCTCCAGAGCCGCTGGGATTACAGGCATGCATGACTGTGCCCAGATTAGAAGATGTTCTAAAAATCAACTATGGTGATGGTTGCACAGTTCTGTGAATACACTAAAAATAACTGAATTATAGACCTCACTTTTTTTTTTTTTTTTTTTCAGTGCTGGGGATTGAACGTAGGGCTTCTATATGCTAGGCAAGTGCTCTACTGCTAAGACACACCCCTGGCTCAAACTATATACCCTAAAATGTGAATTGTATGGTATATGAACTCCTTCTTAGTAAAGCTGTTAAAAATCAGAGATAGGACTGGGGTTGTGGCTCAGTGGTAATGTGCTCGCCTAGCATGCATGAGGCACTGGGTTCGATTCTCAGCACCACATAATAAATAAATAAATAAAGATATTGTGCCCACCTAAAACTAAAAAATAAACATTAAAAAAAAAATCAGAGATAGAAGTCTCCCACTCCAAAAGTCTATTGAATTTGTTGAAGATATCTTAAAATAAAGAACAAGGGCTGGGGTTGTGGCTCAGCAGTAGAGTGCTCACTTAGCACATGCAAGGCCCTGAGTTTAATCCTCAGCACCACATAAAAGTAAATAAATAAAACAAAGGCATTGTGTCTGACTACAATTAAAAAAATAAAGAAAGAGCAGTTATAGACACAAAATTCCTGACATAGTTATCCACACGTGCTGGCAGGACATAAAAGGTCAAGGTTCTAACTCCTGAAGTTGTGAGAGTACCTTGACTTTCTTTTACTTGAGATAAATTTCTCACGATTATCATAATCTTAAAAATAAAAGAAAACGCTCTCCTAGTCAGAAACATTTTCATAGAAGGATCTGCTTCACGGAGGATCTGCTGGTTCATTGTGTAGTGGATTCCAGGGAAAAGTATGATTTTTATTAAGAATTCCTTCCAGCTGGGCAAGGTGGTGCACACCTATAGTCCTAGCAACTCAGGAGGCTGAGGGAGGAGGATTATAAGTTCGAGGCCAGCCTCAGCAACTTAGTGAGACCTGTCTCAAAAAATAAAAAGGGTTCAATCCCCTGTACCCTTGGCAAAAAAAAAAAAGAAAGAAATCCCTTCCCTCACTGTCCTCCACTTCCCCCACATCCACACACATACCCTCACTAGCTCTGCTTGATCAACATACTTTCTATGAGTAAATGTTATCAAGCAACTTTCTCCAGCAGTTCCTCTGTATTTTTTTATATGATGGTAACACTTTTTCCCCTCACATAATCACAATTTACTAACTTCCTATTCTTAATGGAAACCTATTGCAAGTGTGTTACAGAAGCTTAAGCAGAAACTGTCATAAAGGGGGGGGAATATTTGCTTCACTCAAAATGGGTGCATTTAAGCAACTGTCATTATCTAAGTTGACGTTACTTCCTACTGGTCTACAATTCCACAAGATGGATAAACTTCCGACTCTTGCATGGTTTGACAAGTTATAAAAAACTCTAAGTTTAGTTTCAATTTCTCCCTCAAGTCAGTAGTAAACATAGCAAGGGTGATAGTCAAAGAAAGGGTTTGGGTGTTTTCGATTGTTTTTTGTTTTTGTTTTAATACTAGGGATTGAACCCAGGGGCACTCAGCCACTGAGCCACATCCCCAGCACCCCCCTTCTCACACACACACACACACACACACACACACACACATTATATAGATTAGTTGTAGATGGACACAATACCTTTATTTTATTTATTTATTTTTATGTGGTACTGAGGATCAAACCCAGCGCCTTGCAAGTGCTAGGTGAGCACTCTACTGCTGATACGACCCCAGCCCCTTTTTACTTAGAGACAGGGTCTCCCTAAGTTGCTTAAGACCTCACTAAATTGCTGAGGCTGGCTTTGAACTTTCAATTCTCCTGTCTCAGCCTCCCAACCTACCAGGATGACAGGCAGGCGCCATGACGCCCAGCGATATTTTTTTGTTTTAAATTCAAAAAAACCTCTAATCAACAACAAGTTAATGCTAGACTTGACGTTGGAATGACTACTTCTGCCATTAGTCAGTTGCAATGGGCCTTGGGCAAAACCCACACATATTTTGCAAGAGGCTGATGTAAAGAGCAAATGAGATGATGAATTTTAGGTCCAGTTTTTTTTCTCTACCAATTGGTGCTAATTCCTCCTCCCAAGGAATGTGACGATCATTACCAGAGAATCGGTGTGAATGCCCTTTACAAACAGCTGCACATGTGGGTGGGATCAGTACTGTGCTCTAGGAGACAGTGTGGTGGGAACACACAGGCTAGCCCTGGTCCCTTGGTCACACTAGCTCACAAATGTCCCGTTTTCTTTATTTACGGGCATCTTTGAAAAGAAAGGCTGTAACACTGTGCTAGGATTCAGACCTCATCAATAACCCCCTGGAGGCCTACATGAACTAGATTAGCCGTCTGTGCTCTCCATCCTCTGTCACCACGTCACGGCACTTTCATTTCTTTCCACTCAGTGGACAGTTTTACATTCATGTGTGTATTGGGTTTTTAAAAACAATTATGTGATAGCTGAAGTATATCCCTTGCAGAATTCATATGTTCAAGTCCTAACTTCATAATGTGACATAATTTGGAAAGAGGATCATTGCAGATGTGGTTCACATGAAGTCATTAGGGTGACCCCAATCCAATATGACTGGTGTCCTTATCAGAATAGACCGTTAGAACACAGATGTGCGCAAGAGAGGCCACGTGAAGACCAAAGGGGAAGGCAGCATCTATAAGCCAAAGAGAAAGGCGTCAGAAGGAAACCAACCTAGCAATACCTTGATCTTGGATGCTAGACTCCAGAACTGTGAGGAAATGAATTTCTGTTGTGTAAGTCATGTGGTCTGTGTTACTCTGTTATGGCGGGCCAAGCACACGAATGCAGGAACCTAAGAGGGGTTGAAGGTGCACAGCAAAAGCACACAAAAGCCTTGCTAATCTAAAACCAGTAAATTCAGTAAACTTTCTTTTCTTTTCTTTTTTTGTACCAGGGATTAAACTTAACCACTGAACCACATCCCCAGCCCTCTTTATATTTTTTAAATTTTGAGACAGGCTCTCACTAAATTGCTGAGACAGGCCTTGAACTTGCGATCCTCCTGCCTCAGCCTCGCAAAGCGCTGGGATTACAGGCATGCGCAGGGCATGGTAAATTTTGTTTGTTTGTTTTTTTTAAGCTGGGGGAGGATGTTATCCCCTCTCTCTGGCATCAGGAGGGGTGTGGTGAAATGGAGTCCTGGCTCTGCCCTTGGCCTCTTCTTGCATCACTAACACGCACAAGGCATCTCTTTCCCTTCAAGTTCAATGTGAGCACACGTCCTTGAGCCGAAGCCCAAGTTCCCCTCAGAAATACCCTCATTTTTCAGTTCATTCATTGTCTTCTTTTTGGTTTCCTTTTCTAACGAAGAGCGAAATCTACATAAATGTTAGTATTTTCAACAATTTCAAGATGGTTTCTTTCTTCTGCATACACATAAAAGGAAAGTTTTCGTTTTTGTTCTGGTCTTACCCGTTGAGTCAGTGCAAAATGTGACACTTTGGGGAAATTTTGAAGATAGAAAAACTTAGGTAGGGATCTACTCACCCAAGTCTGTGCCACAAATTTGAACCTCACTGTGTTTAATCTTGTCAAAGCACACGGGTGTTAGGGAATCATTACATCAGGCTGTAGCTTTTCCCAAAAGGATCCAAGAAAAGCTCGTTCTCTACTTTTACACTTTAAAACTAAGAAGATGAATGGAACTGTTGCAGTAGCATTACTTGCTGTTTTTCCTCTAATGCAATAACTAGAAGATGATAACTTTATGAATTTCCAATATCTGAGGAATTTCTTTGAGATCATCGGTAAGATTTCATTTCCACAGGAAGTAAGAACATGACAGTTAGAAGAAACAAATCCAGGACAAGCATGTCACTGTGACTCAACACTTCCTTTACCATTTGGGGGAACCTAATGTTTTCCTACTATAAATTCTGTCATCTACTTATTAGGCTGGGACCTTCTCCTTATTATGATTTTTTTTATTTACCAAAAGCAAAAGAAATTGCCTTTTTCTTATAAACTGAGCATTTTCGTTTTCTTAGTCATTAAAAGATGTGAAGTTGTTTCAGTCCGACTGAAGAGCCCCAAATGATAGATCAAACTAAGAAGATATTTCCAAATGTGATGTTTCTCTGAGAAATAGCTCAAATCCTAATATTCTTTGGGCTTTCTTTAAAACCTAAGGTTTACATTAACTATGTCTACCTATAATCGAATTTACAGTGACAAATTAGAAAAAGAAAAAAAATACACACTGTCAAATTTACCCTAATTAAAAAACAGTATCTCCCAATGTTAAAATGATGACACCACCACAGTGCATTCCAACTTGGGGTTTGTGTTGACATCCAGGAATAGGTAGAAATTCCAGAACATTCCAAGGTGCCATCTCCATGGATCAGGCATGTGAGTCCTTTTCCTTATTCCTTTCCTGAGCTTTAAAAATTAATAAACCACACATTTTCATCCCAAAACAAACAGCACATTTCAATCATTGTAAGAATTTACATGGCTGCACCTGCCTCAAAGTTTAATTTTTCTTGGTACCAGACTCAACTGAACTCACACAAAGGAGTTTGGTCACGTTCAATCTTTCGTCTTTGCCTCCTTTCCCACAATATAATACCGTCAGTACCTTGTATTAAAATAGTCATTATCATTTGCATGGTCCCTGGGGCTTATGGAAAAGGTTACAGGGGAACAAGTGTCCTGGGTCTTACCTTGGACTGGAGATTCCAAAACCAGGATGAGGGCGAGAGCCAGGGCCAGGCTACTGCACTTGAGGACCTTCTGCATCATGACCAGCTCACTCCAACACGCCAGCCCACGATTAGGAAATGCAGCAGGGTGCTCTCTGTCCCTTTTAGAAAAGGTTCCAAAACCTCAAACCCTGCCCAGAACACACGTCACAGTTTCCTGAACAAATAGAAAGAGATCCACATCAAAACCCAGAAAGAAAGAAAAGGAAAGCAGCAAAAATAACTATTCATACCCATTATGAAACTGCACTGGGCTCTCCCCACGCCTGCATTCTCTAAAGTTTTGTTGTTTGCCATTTGCCTTAAAAAAAAAAAAAATTTTTTTTTTTTTTTTCCTTTTACACTCAAAACAGCAGAATCAACATCCAGGACGGTTTGTTTTTCCTTTCTTCAGGTGACAATCTAAACACAGGTTGATGACTGTAGAAGTGAGCCACCAATGATGAGAGGAGAGAGCCAGGTGTCGCCTTCTCATCACTAAGTGCCTTCCACACAAAATGTTCTCGATTTTCTGTTACATCAAGGAGCAGCCTAACTCGTGAGCCAAGCTCGAGAAGTGTAACTTCCACGTGGGGTCCTCATCCACCACAATGAGTTGTTTCATTCAGAGGAAGTCTCTTCTTCACTCCGTTTTTGCATTGGCTTCCCTTCTGCCCCAAAAGTATGATGAGGATTTTTTATTACACACACACACACACACACACACACACACACACACACACCACACACAGAAAAAAAAAAAAGAACTTGGCTAAATAAACAAAACAAAAAAAAAATTATCTTGCATTCCTCGGCTCCTTTATACCAACAATTATGATTTGGTTCCATGCATACCCTTATCTTTTCTCCAAGTAAAAATGTTCAACTTGCTTTTGGGTCTCCTGGCCTTGAATAAGCCAGAAATCAGGAACAAGGGGTGGTTGTCCCCACCTTGGGTATTGCCTGTAAAAACATGTAAGCCACTGTCCCCACCCCTGCCCTGGGCATATAGGGGTAAAATTTTCCCCTGGGAATGCTGTGCAGATTTCTGGAGGACTGAGACTCCTTATTACAGCCACAGTGTTTTCTGACATATTGTCACCCTGGGAACATGTGTCCTGTCCCTAACATTCCCCAGACGCTTTAAAGCACGGGTCCCACTTTCCATTCCATGCTCACCCTGCCTGTCCTTTGACAGAGGGAGGAGTTTCCCTTCCCTTGTTTTGAGTTTCCTGCTGATTCCTTACCATTTCCTGCTAAGGACTGGGCCTTGAATCTAACCGCTGCGTAGCTGGGGTTCAAGAACAAAAGCCTGCACGTCTGACTTTCGTCAGAATCAGCCAGAAGTGGGTCCTGCAGCCCAGGGTTCCTCAGAATATAGTCATCAGCCCCCAAACTCACACACCAGCAAGTTCTTCACCAGGGAATTCTGGCTTCAGCTTGAAGTTTTAGTCATCCTCTCTAGTTCCTTTTCATTGTAATTCCCAATTTAAAACCTTGGCACCAAAACAATAGTTCTGTCAATAGCTTCATCAAGTTTTCTGCAGAGCCTCTGAGCAACATTAGAATTTGTGCCTGAAAATGGTAATTTGGGAGCTTTTCTCTTTGGATATTCTTTTTCCCCTTTGGGGCCATGGTGATTTTAAAAAAGACACCTGCAGTGTTCATAAGCAGTTGTTCTCCTCTTGGTTCATGACAGCCCACGGTTCCTTGTTCCAAAGAGCCTTCCTCCAGTTCATTTCTCTAGTCATTTTCTTTTCAGGCGATAGACAGGACCAGGACAAATGCTCATGACCCTACCTACCAGCTGAGCGATGCTGGTCACTTACTCTTTCTTTTTGCATCTCTATCATTTGAGTTCTTCCCCTCCCCCAGCTCCCAGTACTGGAGATTGAGATAAATACCCAGCCCCTTTTGGGGACTGGGGGTACAAGGGATTGAACTCAGGGGCACTGAACCCCTGAACCACATCCCCAGCCCTATTTTGTATTTTATTTAGAGACAGGGTCTGAGTTGCTTAGCACCTCACTTTTTGCTGAGGCTGGCTTTGAACTTGCAACCCTCCTGCCTCTGCCTCCTAAGCTGCTG